ATCTTGTTATTCAGGCAAATCTTCAAACAGTTTCTCACCAATCGGGTTCTGAAAGACCCCAAACAGAGACGCTTCTTTAAGTCCAACGACATGTATGAACTCTTCACCCTGTCTGACCCCGATGGTAAACAGGGAACAGAGACCAGCGCTATATTTGCAGGTTTGTGGCTTTTTTAAAAATATATAATTTTCAACAAGCTGTCAGTGATATGTGTTATATATATTTACATATATAAGGTATGTACTTATAATAATACTTTTGGGACAAAATCCTAAAGTGCTAGAGAGAGAACAAACGATATTTGAAACATTGAGGTTAAAGCCAAAAACAACGATTAAAACCATACGCTCACACAAACACACAGCAATAAATACTAAAATCATTTTGAAATGATATAGTTTTAAGATCCTTTTTAAAAGACACCACAGTTTGCAGTGGCCTCAGGTCATCAGGGAGGGGGTTCCACAGCTGTGGAACAGTACAGTGGAACACTCCATCATCCATGGTGTGGAGTTGTAAAGAATTCAATGTTTTTCCTATTAAACAGGTACGGGCTCTGACGTCAAGGTACCAAAGAAAACAGAGAGACCAAAACCACCACATATGTTGAACAATGGCAGGAAGAGTGAGTCCAGGGCCGAAACAGGGGAAAACAACAGACACTCAACAAACACGACTTCACTGAAGGACAGAATTGCGGCTGTGGGGAGGAGCAGCAGCTCGCAGGTTAAACTGAACGCATCAACAGACAGTAAAAGCAGCAACCAAACAGGAGTCAATGTGAAACCAGATACCTCAGCAAATGTGACACAGACAGAACAAAACGACAGAGACTGGACCTCAGTCCGACCCATGTCCAGTAACTCCACCAGAGATGAAGACTCAGCCCTGACAAGTCCACAGAAGCACAGGAAAAAGAGGAAGCACTGTGACTCCGACAAGCACAGTCACAGGAAAAGCAAACACTCCAGAGGTTCCGCCTTTGAAGGCCAGCGCATCTCTCACCTGGTGAAGAAAAGGACCTACAAGAACGAAGAAAAGGAGGACAATGAGACCAGAGACCAGAAGAAATCAGACGATTACGTCCTGGCAAAGCTCTTCAAGAAGTCTGGTGGGTTATGTTGGTCCTCAGCAGGTACAGTGCTGGTCTTGAGAAGCAATAAAATGTTATGAATGTCAATTTTGTGTGTGTGTGTGTCAGGTATCCACAGCGTGATGCAGCATGACAGCATCATCGAGTCCTCCAACCCAGACTTTGTTCTAGTGGAGGCAGAAGCCAACAGGGTGGCTAAGGATGCTCTGAAAGCACTAAAGGTCTCGCGGCAGCAGTGCAGACTGCCCTTTAACAGACCTCCTCCTGCACCTGCAAGGTACACAGTGGATCTGACGCTGGATTTGATTTAGGTCAGATGTTCTTAGCAGATGAATCTAAAATATTTTACTTTGTTTCCCCAGGAAACGGTTTGGGCAAAAGAAGAATTCTCTGCTGGCTACACCTTTTGTCCAGTCTGCTCCTCTTCCCACTAAGTGCAAGGTACTGTTTTTATTTCACAGTGAATCACAGTGTTGTCAGTAAATTTGTACCAGATCGTCTGATTCTTTGTCCTCCTGTCTTCAGGACGCTGCGGTCGTAAAGAAGTCGGTGTCAAAGAAGCCAGGCTCAGCGGCTCTGTTCAGTGGTGAGTGGGCAGAAGGTGACTCTAACACAGCACCACTCTCCTCCTCCTCCCTGCTGGCCAAAATGAAGGCCCGCAATTTCATCAGTGTGCCCTCCAGCCAAAGAGGAGGAGAAGAAGAAGAGGAGAATGATGAGGACAGCACCAGGCCTCCTGAAAGGAGCTCCCCCTCAGCTCCGTCCACTCAGCATGACGAGCTGCTGGCAGATTTACACAACTTTGTGGCCTTCCAGGCAAACGTGGACGGACAGGCCTCCACCCAGGAGGTGCTGGAGTATTTCAAACCCAGACTGACCAAGGAGCAAGCACCGGTCTTCAGAGAGCTGCTCAGGAGCATCTGTAACTTCCACAGGACTTCTGGACAAGAGGGCATCTGGAAACTCAAGGAGCAATTCCAATAAGGGAAAGGAAGTGGAGCAAAGATTCAAATGTGACTAACAAGCAAACTTTGTGCAAACCTGTGTCAAATGAAAAGTTCTCCTACTACAAAACTGTACAAGCAAATCTTCTATACTGTCAGTATTTTTACAGGAAAATATTTTACTTTGCAAAAAAAACCTATTTATCTCACGACAACCTGGTTTACACTTTCTGCACATTTTGATTCTGACAAAAATTTTTTTTACTGTTTATACTTGAATTCAATGTTGTTGTTTTGTTTGCTTCCAAGGAAAAACAACAAACATTTTCCTGCAGTAATGATTCACTCCATGTGTTGACCACAACTTGACAGATTTGTAATACTATATGTCTCTGTGAAATATAACAGGGAAGCGTTCCGTCTTGTAAATACGACTAAATCACTGCAGTGATGGTGAACAATTGTAATGACTGACCTTCCTTAAACTGTGTACGGTCTGGGAACAATGACAGATTTGAGTCCACTGGTCTGCAGCAGTGAGACCAGATGCAGGTATTTGGGTGGCATGTATTTCAAATAATGATTAAAAACAAGTGCTGCTTGTTGGGACTCGAACGTTGACTAGTTAGTGACCACTATGTGGTGTGTTAATTGTCTAAAGAAGGGACTGAAATATGGGATACAACTGTTTTAAAATTCAACACAGTCGACCTCCGTTAACGTGACTTTTTTTGCTTGACCTGATTGCATACAACTATTTGAGCACCAACAGGTCAAAGGTCAATGTCATATTTTGAAAAACGTTTAAAAATTTTGAAAACTTTCAAGGAACACATGAAACTCACGTGCATGCGTTATTGTACAACTGTGACCGCTACGTGGCGCTGTTTCACGGGAACTACTCTGTCTTATATTTGATTTGTCTGCGTAATAATTCGTCAAACTTTACAAAACAAAACGGACCAATTAGTGCCAGGTTTAGGACATGTGTCCAAGATACTTAAGGACAGACGTTGACTATTTACATGTATAACATATTTGATGTATTTTTCGTTTCCTGTTTATCGTATGGTTTTACCAAGGCAAGACGACGGTACGCATGTATTTTCTGTTTAGGTTTTTTTAGTAAATATTTGACGCGGGCTGTTATAAACACAGTTTTTCTATTTATGACGTATTTCCCACTTGTGATATCAGGTGAAAACATACCGAATGTCGATCAATATGATGTCCTAGAGTCCGCTGTTCTTAAATATCGGTGAGTTTATTGGTTCACTTCTCCAGTTTTGCCAAATATCAAACTTTTTTCCCCAATGGTGCTTATATGTAGGGCCATCGTTTTTTGAATTTTATGCAACACAAAATGATTCAGGTTCATAGTCGGGTCTCACGTTCTTTTTCCTGTAATTGTGTTCTTCAGTGGCTGTCATTGTCAACAGGCCTAAATCCATGTGCATAAAGTCATGCAATAAATCCTTAAAACTTCCAGATTGTTTTAGTTCTGTCGACACGGACGTTACTGTGGTGTTGAAAATGATTCACCCTGTAAAATGAAGACTTCCCGTTTCGGACGCATTTCCCACCTTGTGCGTGAAGTATTTACTCGTTACAGCGGGTAAAAAGAGTGTAATTGAATTTAATTTGTTATATTAAAAGACCGCGCTCACTCCTGCAGAGATCATTTACGAGTGTTTTCCTCAGGTGAGGAGAGGAGAGAGGAGAACTGTTCTAATCATGTTCGAATGGGGCCCAAAAAAGTTGTTTAGTAGTGAGAGGTTGAGATGAGGCCGTATTATTTATTTCCATAGTCAGGAGAGAAACACACACACACACACACTCCAGGCCTCTGCTCTCCAACACTGTCAGAGTTGTCTAGACCAGATATTGGGATAAAGTTATCAACCGTTATTTGATTTCAATTTTCTCCTCGCACCTCACCGAGGTCATAATAACAACTTTATTTTCAGTGGTGCATAAATTAATTACGCGCATTTAATAACTAAAATATCATTATATTCCCCCTTTAATAACATAAACGCTGCACGCCAGGGAAAGCCTTAATAGCGCGGGGCCCTGTAACTGGCCATTATCCGCCTGTAATGATATTACAGAACCAATTACGCGCCATTAGAAGGGATTTTCTGCACTTGATGTGGTTCAGTCCAATCCCGCACTCCTCTTCTAAATTTCTGCTGCTTCTCCGAGCCTCATTTTGCCTCCACCTCAGAGACGCACGGCGTCTGCGCTCTGCCGTCCCCGATGCGCTTTAAAACTAATTGAAAGGGTCCCGCAGCACATCATTTATCTGAGGAAGCCTAATAAATCGCGGGACCCCTTGCTGTGAACAAAATCAAAAATTTGGCCTTGTGAGTGCTCACCGTGCGCAAACCCTTGTAAAGTGGAGCCGCTAACGCACCCTGACGAGCAATTAAGGCGCCCGACAGTCAATCTAAAAGCCAAAAGCAGTCATCCTCCTTTTTTTAATATATGAAAGAACCAAATAAAAAAAGTGCAGCGGCTACGTGCGCGCATGTTTATGGTTAGGGAATATGTCTGACTCTGGAATAACAATCAGTGCTGATGGATTTTTTTTGGCACCGGATCTGCAGATCTGCCCCGCATACGCGCCACCCTGGGTATTTCTGGGTATATCTGCCCTGAGCTGCTACTTTATTTAAAAAAAAAAAAAAATCTCTGAAAGTCTAACACATACAGACGTCCACGTATGTAAACTCACTGGCACGTGCGCCGCGCGCACGCGCCCACACACACACCAGTTGGAGAGCAAGGGGTGACGGAGGCAAAACCACGATAATCCGATTAGGACCAATTAGGCGTGAGATTCTGTAACACTTTGTGAAAGAGTCAACACTCTGAAGACAGTTGTACTGTTATAGAGACATCTGGACACTCCCGGAGGGGGGAGGGGGGGTGATGGACAGACTGGGAGGGAGGGAGAGAGAGAGAGGGAGAGAGAGGGATGGAGTGTTTGGTTTGTTTATGTGTTTTTGAAGAGAGAGCGAACGAGACAGAAGAAAGAGAAAAAAAGATAGATGGGGAGGGGGGCAGAAAGTAAGGAGATAGAGAGGGGGAGTGAGAAAGTGAGTGAGAGAGAAGAGAGAGAGAGGGAGGAAGAGAAAGAGAGGGGGTGGGGGGTTGAAAAGTGCAGAAGCCACTTCTCTCCAGAACTCGCTCACATCAGCATCCTTCCTCCCTGCAGGTACAGGATGCGCTCTTTCCCACCTCCCCCTCCTTCTCTTCTTTTTCCCTTTCCTTTTTCTTTACCGTCATCACCATCATCATCCCTTTCCTCCTCCACCTCCTCCTCCTCATCGCCGAGTCCCACACAGTTCCTCCGCCTCTTCGCGGGACTTTTGTCATGTCCTGTCATTAGTCTGTCACCTCCTGCACTCACTCAGACACACACTCTCGGTCTCTGTTCCAGGTTCCACGACTTCAGTGTGTGTTTGCGCCTCGGACTCAGAGACGCGCCAGGATGTTCTACTTCCACTGCCCTCCCCAGCTGGACGCAGACTGCTGCCGCTCCAACACCTGTGAGTTTACCCCCCCCGCTCTCCTCCTTCTTCATTTTTTATCTTTATTTGTCCCGTTTTTGCTCCTTCTCTGTTCGTGGAGTTGCGCGTTTCAGCCCGGTTGCGCTCAAAAGTGTGTGTGTGTGTGTTTCCCACAACAGGCCGGACTCTGAGCGCGTTCTGTTTTTCTTTCATCATCAATTCAAGAAATGAAGAAAATGCGACGGTAACACAGTCCGGGAACTTTAACCGCAATGTATTTGCCAAAGATTTAGGAGTGAATGGTTGCAACTCGGTGGGAAATGTTCATTTTCACACAGTTGAAGAGTGGACTTAAAGGGTTAAGTGTGGTTTCTCCCCTCGCTGCTGCTGCTCTGGCCCCGGGGCAGAGGGGCCGATCTGTCCCGGGCACAGATGTTGGCTGTTATGGCTCTTATGGTCCGACATGGTTCCATCTCAGATGCAGAGTTAGTGACACTAATGGGAGAAAGTGTGCCAAAAATCAACTCCAATTATTTTTCCTTTAATTATTTAAACTATAAATCTGGATTTTATTTAACCTTAATTCATACAAATAATAATATAATAACTCGGATTTTTAAAAATGTATTAACCTTTTTTATATAACGTGGCCGTATCTTGTCTAATAGATAAAAGTTTTATTTACAAACGCGCAATCTAGGTTTTTATCAAGTGACCGTATAACCACTGATGACTTAAAGTTGTATCAACTAAATCCTGAATTGTACGGGTATAAAGTAACCGTAATATGTCTAATAAACTTGTTTTTCCTTCAGTGAATTCCAGCGGCTTTGGCAACCACACCCCAGCGGATTTTGACGATGGATTTCTGCGCAGGAAACAGCGGAGAAACAGAACTACGTTCACTTTACAACAGGTAAAGAAATAATTACAGGCCAAGCAGAAACTTTACTCAGCGACTGCGTTTGTCACTGAAGCGACGAGATTGAATTAAAGACGGATAATTTGGCAGAAACGAGGCCTTTATTTTATGACCGAGCCGAGAAAAGGCAGAGAATCACTTTATTGATTTTTAAAAAATATACTGTATATAATAATAATTTCTTAATGGGATTTTTAAAAAAATATACTGTATATAATAATAATTAAAAAAGGAAAGATGAAGAAAATGAAAACGTTTTCACATTATCTTTTTATGCTCTGGGGATAATTGTGATAACGTTGAAACATTTTAAGGTTGTAGTGCAATCTGGGATTTTTCTAGAACAAATTTAATAAGAAGAAGAGAGAAAGAATGAAAGAAAGAAATTGCAATAAGTTGCAATTGTAGGCTAAGTATGTCAGTGGTTTAGGAAACGCTAATATTAGCTTTTTTTACTCTTAAAAAGTAAGAGATAAATAAACAGTAAAGGGGAATTATAATATCTGATAGATAGATAGACAGATAGAGAGAGGAATTATAATATCTGATAGACAGATAGATAGATAGATAGATAGAGAGAGAGAGAGAGAGAGAGAGAGAGAGAGAGAGTTTTGTTTCTATCCCTATGTTACAAACCAATGTAATGACAAGTTACGCAGACGTACTTTTAAGTTTGTTTGTTTGTTTTTGTTTTTTCAGTTGGAGGCTCTGGAGGCGGTCTTCGCTCAGACCCACTACCCGGATGTGTTCACCCGTGAAGAACTGGCCATGAAGATCAACCTGACCGAGGCCAGAGTACAGGTGAGGGACCGTCTGCAGGTGGACAAGACTCTGCTAATGTGGACACTTCTGACCACCAGTGTTGTGAGTGTGTGTGTGTGTTTGTGTGTGTGAGGATGTGAGGGAGAGGGTAAATGAAGCCACTCTGTCATTTTCCTGCGATGCACTTTAATAACATCAACATAATGGTGAATATTAGATTAGCTTGATTAATCGGTCATTCATAATTAAGCAGCGATAATGGCGCTCACTAATTTGGCCGCGTCTGAAAGGTAAGAGGATACATCATCCGATGCAGGACCTCAGAATTTGACCTTTTTTCTCAGAAAAGCACATATTCTATAAAACAACCGCAGAGGAGAAACGACAAAATAACACTTTTTGAAAACCTACAAATTGCCACTTTATATCCTGACCCTGCCTGTGCGCAGGCGCGGCGACAGAGCGGTCCAGATGTAATCCACTTATGTGCCCTGTATGTAATTTCCTGCATTCCACATTTGCTTTTGGGTTTTTTGTTGTGCGCACAGATCTAATTGTGAGAAATATAATAGTTTGCCTTTTGTTCCCCAGGGTCATCTTACTATCGCTTAAACCCAATGGCGGGCCTTGATAATGGAATCCAGCGCTGTAAATTAGGGATTGTAAACAAATTATTCCCCTCCTAATCCGATTACCACATTCCTATTATTAAATCTGAACATGAATCCACGGCAGTATGCAGGGGATATTAAACTTACATTATTATTAGAAAATAAATTTCCTTTCTGCTGTAGTGTTGTTGCCCCCCCACCCTCCCTTTTTGTGAAGTGTCAATGGGCCTCCCCCGCATTAAGGGCACACCGCAAATTGAGATTAATGGAGCAATTATAGGCCATTCAGAGGGTGTGTGTGTGTGAGAGAGTGTGTGAGCTGTGACTCCTAGCTGGAAGGTGCAGGGGTGAGATAAGTCCATTGCCTGCATTGTTGTCCTGCCATTAAAATCTTGTCCTTTCTTTCTGCCCAATGAATGAATGAATGGCTGGCTATTTTTGTGCTCTGTTTGGCTGTTGACATCATTTCCTCATTGTCACAGAAAAGGGAAAAAAGATTCACACACACACACACACACTCACAGACAGACTCTAACCTCCATTCACACACACATCATGATTAATGCCTGCTAGAACCGAGTCCTAATCGAATCTGATGTTGTCAAACAATCACTAAATAGGGAAATAAACGACTTCATCATAGCCGCCTCTCTCTCGGGCAGCACAACTGTCAGTGGGAAGTCATTAAAATATGATAATGAAAAATAGCTCAATTAAACGTTGTTATAGGCAGTGACCTTCATTCGATTAAGATACCAGAACTTGGCTGGATCTTCTCAACTGTGTGGACGGTGGTGAAGTTTGGGAGAATAAGTCAGGGAGCGTGGAAAAGAAAGGGAAAAAAAAAAATAAATCAGAGCGCTTGTGTGGCACCATTCAAATATCTCCTGGTAAAAATGTTACATTTGTGATAAGATTAAAACACACAGTGGGGCAGGTGGCTGTGATTGTGTGATAATGTTTCTGGGATGGGAAATTGGGAAATTAATGAGAGAAAAAAAATCACATTGAAGTGGTATTATCTCAAAATCTAATTAGTAAATTAATGACATTGTTTGGATTTAATTTTTCCTATTTCTTTACGACTGCAGGTTTGGTTTCAGAACCGCAGAGCAAAGTGGAGGAAGACGGAGAGAGGGAGCAATGACCCTGAAGGAGGGAAGGAGCAGATGAGTGAGGGCACTCCTTCTCGCAGCATCAACTCTCAGTCCCCCGTGGACCAGAACAGGAAACAGAAAGAACCACTGGAGATGCAGCAGAGGTGAGGAGAAAAAGACAGGAATTATGACTGGACCTGGTACTGACGCATTACAGCATCCGGTGATAAGAGACAGAAAGATGATGGAATTAAATTAATCCAATGATAATCCACTAATGTAAGAAGGAAAAAAGCAGAAGACGACAAATGCAGAAATGAAGTTGTTAAAAAAAAATTCAAATTAGATTTTTCTCAGCTGGATAATCTCCCCCTTCTGCCCCTTCTCCCCCTCAGTATCAACAGGACAGTGGGTCCTGGTGGTCCCTTCTTTCCATCCTGCCTTCCAGGGAGTTTGCTGAATTCTGCCACCTACGCCCAGGCTCTCTCACAGGTCGCCACGCTCAAAGGTAGATATCAAATCAAATCTATGTTTTTTTTGTGACAATAAACAACAGCCAGAACACAGCATGACTAACAGAGCTTTACAGAAATGGACACAAAGTGTGCAGTCTGGGTAAATGTAAAAAAAAAAAAATCACAAACATGTCATGTCAGATAAACGTCCAGTATCTCAGCTCATTTTTTTTTTCAACTAAATCCTTACTCTCCGGGATCAAGTATCTACACTTTGGTTTTCACTACAACGAATTGGAGATCGTTCTTCACTAGGATTAAATGTCCTTCGTCTGTGTGTTTCACTGTGAGGACAGTGTTCCTTGAGTTACATTCCTCTCCTGTCCAAAACATCTTTTTTAAAAGAAAAATTTTAAAAGACTATTTACAATTGTTTGGTTTTCAAAGCCATACTTTTTTATTCTTTATATTTATTTTGGTTGTATTTACAAATATTTTACTCAAATTAAAATGCAGTTTTAGCGTATTTATTTTTGTCCTCCTTCATAAATGAAGACTTTTCAGAGAGGGTTTGTTCAAAATCGTTGTTGTTAATGATCTCGCCGTCAGGTGTCTGCGGTTGTTGTTAACCATTTGAAGTGACGACGGTCACGTACGATAATTATGAAAGTCTAATTTCTCGTTTTATTTCTTTTTCTCAGGTAATGGTCTCTGCTCCTGCTGCGTTTCTGACCCCATGGGTTTATCCTTCCTGCCACCCTACGGTTGTCAGGGCAACCGTACAGCCAGTGTTGCTGCCCTGCGGATGAAGGCTCGCGAGCACTCCGAGGCCGTGCTGCAGTCGGCCAACCTGCTCGGAGCTGCAGCGGCTGCCGGGCCAGGAGCCGGCGTGGGAGTTCTGCCCGGAGTGGGTGTGGGAGGAGCTGGGCTGCCCAGGCCCACTGTGGCTCCTAACATGGAGGTGCCTGGAACTGTGGGACGAACAGGGGGCACTTCAAGTCCTGGACCCGCTAACAAGGTCTCAGTCTTGGGCAATAGTTCTGACAAACACCCACAATGCCCCAAGGATCCTTCAGAGAAAAAGTGAGGCCTTGAGGACACGGATATGGATACTGCAAATACTCCAAATACTCTAAATACTCCAAGGACGAAGCACAAATGACTGGCCCCACACCCTGAGTGGTGGAAGACTCTGCTCATGTTTCATTGTATGGATGCAAACAATAAATATCTAGTTGTCAGTGAATTATTATTGTTTGTGAGGAATACTGAATATTCGGGGGCTTTGTTTTCCCTCCCCTGAGAGCACAAGTGTAGTTTTGGATGTACAGTATATATTTGTCATCATGCACTGCTGTTGGACTCGTTGCTGTTGATGCAACACAGATGCAAAAATGACCGGTTTGATAATGTGAATACAAAAAAAAAAAAAAAAAAATCCATTACAGGTCTTCATGTTTGCTCACCAAGGACAAACGTTTACAATGTGAATGTTAATGCATGTCTACTGCAAGTGTAGAAGTGAAGGCAGCGCAGTGTGGACTCTGCAGCAATATGACGTTCCCATCAGATCAGTGACAGGCTCCAATATTCCACTCTCATCTTTGTGTGTTTGTGTTTGAAGTGAACGTGCACTTTAAGATTTAAGACATTTTTCAGTGTCAG